TACTAAATTTGTACCATTTCCTGATTCGCCCCTATTTTAACTATTGTATTGTATACGCATTTAAAGAACTAATTTAATGAAATCAAATATATTACTTATTTTCTGTCATTTTCATGACACCAAATTTAGTATACTCTCCCATACTCAATACTCTGATTTGAAAAATTAATATCCTCCCTATTATTTACTCATTTACTAAATTTTAATTATTTGTTGATTTTCCTCACTGTTTACTTTTATCATTTGCATATGCTAATGTTATTTTGCTTACTTTTGTATAAAAATTGTAACTGTTAATTGTTTTATTCTATATACACTATAACAACTAAGTTATTTAAACCTAATATCATACTTATTTCCTATTTTACCCCTGTTATGTAGATTGATTTTCTAGGTAGTTATCCAAAAGGTATCATCCTCTTTTTAAATAACTTATATACTAAGTTTTGATTCTTTCCTATTTTGCCCCTCTAATCGATATTGAAGTCTCTAAATTTTACCCATCTTTTTATCATTATGCTTTCTAACATTTACTTTTATTACTGTATTTTTGATTCTGCTAATACTTTGGATTCTTTATATACGATATCTACGCAACGAAATGCCGAGTTAAGCTTATTCACGTATCTACAGTTTCCTAATTTCGTTAAGTAAATATCTTATTTTCTTTCCTATTTCTTATTTGACCCGTTTTTTAAACATTATGGTTTATCTTAGTTTTTTCCTATTTTACCCCTATTATATAGACTGACTTTCCAGATAGTTATCAAAAAGGTAACATCTTCTTTTTAAATAACTTATATACTAAATTTTTATTATTTCCTGTTTTTCCCCTCTGATAAATATTCAACTATCTAAATTTTATCCAGCTTTTTATCATTATGTTTTGCTATCATTTACTTTTATCACTGCATTCTTCATTCTGCTAATACTTTAGATTCTTTATATACAATATGTACGCATCGAAATGCCTATTTAATCTTACTTCTATTGATATCAAAATCATTGTGATTCCCTATTTTACCCCTGTTACGTACACCGATTTTACAGGCTCTTATCCAAAAATTAATATCCTGTCGCCCCTGTATTCAATATTTACGTATCTATAGTTTGCTCATTTCATTAAGTAAATATCTAAATTTCTTTTCTATTTCTTATTTTACCCATTCTTTTATCATTATGTTTTTCGTCGTCTTCTTTTCTCACTATGTTTTCTATCAGCATATTACTATGGAATCTGTATCCAGTAACAAAAAGTATGTACAACCCTTTCGTTTCATTCAAGTTAATGTTATTTTTTTAATTTTAAACGTTAGTTGTTTTACTAGTCTGGTATGATGACATAAACATACTACTTTCTTTTTTCTTTACGACTTTACCCCTCTCATTCATCTCATTCTTTTTACCTTTTTCTACTGATCGAAGATATCTTTTTCCTTATCATTCGCTTTTACCTTATTTTCATCTTCATATATTTCTCTATCATATCTAACTATCTTATATCCTAACTCCTGCCATTTGATTGCATGAATATATTTATTATTTTGTTTTTTACTATTTAATTAGTTGTATGTAAAATGACATTCCAGTTCTTCTTTTAAGTTTCATACATATCTAAACGGACTTTTATTATTCATGCCTTTCTAAGCAGTCTTATGTCATTCTTATATTCGCAAACAATAACATCAGACAAATTGGTCATCATTGTAGATTTATATACTATCGAATTTCAGAAAAGGGGTCTACCTCATTGTCATACTTTGTTGTGGGTAAAGAGTGCTGATCGAATCAAAAATGCATCCGATGTTGGCATGTACATAACAGCTGAGCTGCCAGATCCGACAACAGATCCAAATCTGCATCAGACAATCACAAGCTGTATGATTCATGGGCCATGTGGACCACTAAATCCAAAAGCTCCGTGTATGAAGGACGGTAAATGTAGTAAACATTATCCTAAACCATTTCTTCATGCTACATTATTCGATACGGAAGGATACGTTCGATATAAACGAAACCCAAATTCACACCATATCACCCAATCCGGACAGATTATAGATAATGGATACGTTGTTCCCTACAACAGAAGACTTTCCTCACGATTTCAGGCACACATCAACATTGAGTATTGTGGATGGAATATGATGATTAAATACCTCTTCAAATATATTTCCAAAGGAGCAGACCGCGTAAAATAAGCAATCCAAAAGGCAAAATTGTCCAACGCATCCACTTCTGTCATAGAAGATAGCCATGATAACAGGTATAGGGGTCCAGCTGTTACTCCTGTCAACGAGGTGCATAATTTTCTAGATGGTCGCTATATTTGTCCCCACGAGGCAGCATGGCGTATCTTAAACTTCCACATACATCATCGGTACCCACCTGTTCAGACTCTATCCGTACATGAGGAGAACATGCAGCAGTTACTATTCAAGGAGGACACAACAATACCTCAAGTGCTGTCAAACCCATTCAACTGTGTTACGACACTTCTAGGCTGGTTTCGCAACAACAGAAAGGATCCAAGTGGACATCACCTTACATATCTAGAATATCCAAAGTCTTACAAATGGGACAAATCATCTAAATCCTGGGATCGTAGGGTTGACGACTCCTCAAAAGTACTCGGCCGACTTGTGTTTGTTCATCCAACTTACGGCGACTTATTTTACCTGCGAATGCTGCTGTGTCACCAAAAGGGTTTCACATCCTTTGAAGACTTGTGCACCGTCTTTGGCACCATTTATCCTACCTATAGGGCAGCCTGCAATGCATTAAAATTGATTGGTGATGATACAGAATGGTTATCTGCATTCACAGAGGCATCCATATGGGCGACCTCATCGCAACTTCGCTCACTTTTCTGCCAGCTATTGCTTTTCTGCGAAGTTAGCAATCCACAATTTCTTTGGGAATGCACATGCGATAAGATGAAAGATGACTACCTATATGCCCTAAAAAGAGAAATGCCAGAAAAGGGACTGAATTCTGTTGCGGACATAGTCCATCAGCAACTGCTCAGCGATCTTGATCACACCCTACGCTCTTGCGTACCATCTAAGTCAATGGCGGCATTCGGTCTTCCGGTTCCTTCAAATGATATACACAGTATTTTGCAAAATCGTCTTCTACTTGAAGAAATAAGTTACGACAAAGAAGCTCTACAAAGAGAACATGATAATATGTTGCCAAAGCTGAATATCGACCAGCTATCGGTTTACAAGTCAGTCATCTCTTCAATTGAAAACGATAAACAGATACTGATCTTCGTTTATGGACACGGGAGTACTAGAAAAACCTTCCTTTGGACAACTATTATCTCCTATTTTATATCCAAAGGAAAAATTGTGTTGGTCGTTGCCGCTTCTGGAATTGCGTCCCTTTTATTACCTTCTGGGACAACAAAACATTCAATGTTCAAAATACCTATTGACCTAACGGAGAAGAAATCATGTGACATAAAAAAGAGAACATCCCTAGGCGATCTTTTACAGCGTACATCGCTCATCATTTGGGATGAGGCACCAATGAGTGACAGAAGGTGCTTTGAGTTTCTGGACCGCTCTCTTAGAGATGTCTTAGATTGTAATGAAAAGTTATTTGGAGGCATATATGTTCTACTAGGTGGTGATTTCCGACAAACCCTTCCAGTCCTACCAAGATCAACGCGTTCGGAAATCATTGCCTTAACTCTTCCATGTTCGTACCTCTGACGATCTTTCACCATTCACGTCCTACACACGAACATGAGAGTTAATTCTTTTGAAAGACCCACCAGTAGTTCAATGTCCACATCGGCTTTCACAAGTTAGTTGCTTCGTATTGGAAATGAACAAATGGGCATGATGATGATGACCCCCGGGACACAAGTTGGTTGGAAATCCATAACTCCCTTCTAATAGAACCCGGGAGTGACTCCCTAAAGTCATTAATAGATTTTGTTTATGGAGATGGTTTGCTTAATGATCCGACTGCGATTGACCTTTCAGTAAGAGCTATAGTTACGCCCACAAATGATGTTGCAGACAACATAAATACAACAGTTTTAGGGATGGTGTCATCAGAGGAGAGAACCTATAAGAGTATAGACATGATCCAACCAATTGGCAAACATAGGTCAGATTTTGAGGGCCTCTATCCAACCGAATACCTAAATCAACTCAATTTCCCTGGAATACCACCTCACGAACTTACACTCGAACTCCATTGTCCCATAATGTTGCTAAGAAACATTAACCAAAGAGAGGGCTTATGTAATGGTACACGACTTATAGTGTCCTAGTTGCTAACAAACGTAATTGAAGCAACAATCATGAGTGGCACCTGCATTGGAAAGCGCGTTTACATACCTCGTATAAAGTTTATACATAAGTCGGCAGATATGCCATTTAGTTTCTCATGAAAACAATTTCTATTGAAAGTCTGCTACGTAATGACCATCAACAAAAGCCAAGGACAATCACTATGTAGAATTGGTGTATATTTAGCACAACCCGTTTTCTCACACAGTCAACTCTACGTTGCCCTATCCCGAGCAACATCACCAGATTCCATAAAAATATTGATAGAAAATACAAACCCAATGCAAGTCAATCGAACCAAAAATGTTGTTTTTAGAGATCTATTGGAGAAACTTACTTCACCTGAGATCTATAGTATCACTACCAATCCTCTTTCCAACATTATCATACCTTTGATAAAGCACTATCTAAAAACGTGTTTTTTTTTTCTTTACTATATCTCATTTTACATACATGTAAAATATGTTTACATATATTTATTCCGAGATGACAATGCACCCGACTGACAACTTTCGAACATTCTTATACCATTCATAAAACATTATCGAAACAATATTTATAATTTTATTATATATGTCTTTGATTATATTTATTTTTACATACCTGTACAATCTGTTTACTACTTATCCTACATTTATATCTGAATATGGCACTCATTCTCATATGCTTATTCGACATAGAAAATACACCCGACCAATGAGCAGCATTTCTGAGCTAAAGACTGATGGTATTGGAGGCCCTTTACAGGTTAGAATACTACGTAAATGGAAGTACGACGTAAGGCGCTATGAAACCTGGAATTTAGCTATCGACAGATTTGTAAGTCATCTTCAAATACAATTTTGTAACAACTATGTATTAATTTCTACATTAAACATACCGTTAAAATAACAAATACGAAGCCTTACATTATATGATTTTCTTTCATTAACATGGGGATGCCATACAGATTCTTGGTCAACGAACTAACCAGAGCTACATTGAATCTGTTCTCAACCTTTTGCAGTGCTACACCATATCGGATTATAGCTGCCCCATGTTAGACAAGTATCAAAAATTCCTACAAAATGACTTCTATATTGATGTCGGCCTTATGTCTATGATAGAATAGATTCCGGACACACTGACAATATCGAAAAACTGGTTTCATTTTGTCTCAAAGCCGCAACTCATAGAACTTGGGGACACACCATCTTATTACCCAGGTACATACATCCTTTCCCACCTGATCCAATGAACACCTCTAACACAATTAAATTTACTTTTCCTTAGACTACATTGGTGTCCTCTCAAAGATTAGAGACTGCATCAAAGTGGGTGGTGAGTCATACGTGTTGCTGATTTTAACCGGTGAAAGATACGTATTGCATGTAACAAAACTTATTTCGGACTTCGCTTCCACCAACCTAATATAAAACACATTATCAATACGATTAGTGGTAGCGAACTCGCGATCAATTTATGGAAAGAGTGCATAACCAATTCACAAAAATTCGACCGCAACTCCTTGCAGCCACTGCCAGCAACAACAGTTGTCGTTGTGACGAACTTAAAACCTTCCATATCCAATGGTATGATTTTCATACACAACATCATACACACACTACTCACAACTGTCATGTATTGGCCACAAACATTTCTAACATGTGAATTATTTATATATAGGGGCTCTACATCATGGTTCATCACATGCTACACATTTCTATGTCAACCCAGACATACCAGAAACAACATCACTTATAAACCTATAAGCCACATATACAAACATTAGACATCATGTCCAATAAAGTAAAGACTGTATACTAATAATAACATGTTGTCAGATATACAGGTCCCTCAAGACCAATGCCACCACTAGCAGGAACACCATCTACCCTACATGACATGAGAAAGAAAACCATATCTAAGCTGCTGGTAACATTTCTTCATTGCTAACTCTTTTCATAAACAACAATAATTTCATACATTGATATGAAATAACTTTACTACGACTGGATAAGACGTTCCTGGTGCGTGCATCAATCAAAGACATTGTCTTTCAAAATAGTTGGTACCAGACAACATGCCCAATCTGCAAAGATCCCATCTTCAGAAGGGGCGAAAAATGGTTCTGTAGTGCACATGGACATATTGACAAACCAAACTACATGTAATCGTCTTTAACAAAAATTTAACACATATACTGATTATACGTCCGCAATGCTGACAAATATCCGCTGTCCACAGATACAAATTCTCTGTTATCATCACTGATGCAACGGACACCATACAAGCAGCCATATCGGAAACATCATGTCGCAAACTTCTCAGGTCACCTCTCGACAAATTCATATCCGACAACCCACTGACGAATGGAAACGTCCTGCCCGTAAACATAACCAACGAGAGAGGAAATACAAAAACAATGTCCATCCAAATCCTTAGAGCCTCAACTCCAGAAAACATACGGTTCATAATAATTGACCACGACACACTAACAACAATGTCCGACACATCAATTCCAACAACACCAGCTCCAACCAGAATGACAAGGGCACGACAAAACGACACATCACTGGAATCATCTACAGCCAATCAAAACGTTGCACGTCCTCTATCCTATGACCTTACAGGTATATAAATGGTGTTATACATGGAATTAAAATATGAAACAAAATTTTCCAAATGCAGACTATTAATAGTAACTCAAAATGTGGCAGGTGCTACCCTAACAAACAGTCGAAAGCAGATGAAGAAATAAAAGATATGACGCTAAATTAAATAACAAACTTTATATTGTCTAAGCTAATATCACAATCTTTTGTAATGTAAGAATACCAATATCACCCCTATGTACGAAAACTCAGACTAAGTTGTTATGCACCTTTTTTTGTATATTGTCTATTCCTCTACATCCTACAATTCACATTACTAAAAAGACAACATTAAAAAAATGTCATCCATCATATATAACATATGCCTACGTAACTAATATCTACAAGCTGAAGTTACGTTCTTCAACAAAAAATTGTGATTCTAATAATCTAAATAAAAAACCACAACATTAGATATAAACAAAGTAAATGAAATTCCATTACATAATGATAAATTTATATTTAAATGACTATGCCCAATACGTTCTTTAAAAAAAAGAAAACTACCCAACAAAAACCGGCACAATTAATTTTAAATACGAACACAGCAAATTAACATGAAAATGTCAAAAAGAATATATTGTTTATTTACAACTGCCCACTACTACTGCCATCAGTATCAAACAGGGACTTTCCATATGGATTGACATCTAACCACCCACATTAGATGCAAACTTAAATACTGAACCCAACACCAAGATTTACATCAGCCAAAAAAGGCAAAAAAACAATCAACACCTCTTACCGACCACCCTATATGCATCACTTCCCAGGAGAACTTTAAATAACCCACACTTATTGCTAGACAACCACTACATTCAACCCCTATAAAAGAACGTCCCCAAATAAACGACCCTACCACTAAACATCACAAAAAAACCATGAATACTATCATGTTGAAGGTTACCGAACACCTCCACACAACGAAGACCTACTTAGGCCATGTTCAAGAAGCATTCACAGGAACTAACACCCAAATGCAAACGCTCCTACAAGACGCCCCAGAGGAGCTACTGTACAAAGAGTTGACAATCACCAACCAGGTTATTACCGACATCGACAAGGACACCGTGCTCATGCTTAACATGTTCGACATGATGCAGGAAAACATCACAGCAGCCATCAAAATATGCAATAAGATCATCCAAGACCATCCAACACCATGACGAACGCAGGATCAACCACTTCTACAACAACAACCGTTTTTGCATGCGTTTCTGTAATGAAAGATTATTAACTACTTCTTACAACATCCACCACTTTTGTACGCATCTATGTAATGAAGCACTATGTAATCACCATATAATGAATGAATATGTTTTTATCCATATACTATCATAAAATCCATAGATAATACAATGAAATAATCCAACCACTAACAACATTCCCCTTAACTAAAAACGGTAAACATACGTACACCATCTAACCCCCGCGTAGCGGGGGACTTGCACCTAGTTGCACACAAAGATAGTGTTGTTGGTGAAATGTAAAAGAAGAAATAGATAAAAAGGGGGGATTAATGTTGTGGAAAGATGGATATCTAATACCAATATATAATGTTCTCGAATTCTCTAAGAGGTTTACCATTTAAAAGTAAAAAAAAAAAAAAAAAAAGTGTGTGTGTGTGTATATATATTTATATATATATATATATATATATATATATATATATATATATATATATATATATATATATATATTCGAATTAGACCGAGATTTATTGATAGCAAAAAAACAGTGTATTCTTTATACTTTCCGAAAATATAGAAATGAAATTAGTTAGGTAGATCTTAGTTCTAGTTTTTAGTTAAGACAATGTTTGTCGTACTAGCTGAAAAGCTAGCTGTTAAATAAAAAGCTAGCTGATAAAATATAGCGTTTAGTAAAATTAACTGAAATATATAAAATTACATAAAATAACATATAAGAGTATGTGTTTCTATAATTAATTGAGAGGTGTATTTGGAAAATTTTAAAAAAACTCCTAAAAAACTAGTCTAAGTAGTTTTTTAAAAGCTACTTTTTAATTTACCAAACACAACAACATAAAAAAACTCGAAAAATAAGCTAGCTGTGGCACGCCAAACACAGCCTAAGATATGAGTAGGACCTTGCCTTGAAACTACTAAAGGTCATGCTTCTTTTTTTCCAAGTGATAAAAACATATAAGAAACAAATAAATGAAGTCAAGACCTAATAGGAAAAAAAACATAAACCCTTCAAACAAATAAATGAAGTCAAGACCTAATAGGAAAAAAAACATAAAACCCTTCTTTTCTCTGTTGATTCGTTCTTTCTGTATTAAGTAAAAAAAACAACCACTCATATACTAAGTCTTATATCCTCATTAAGTTAAAAAAAACACCACCCTAGAATCAAAATTGACTAGATATGAGCAATTGTGTAAATAAAATCTAATAGGTAATTACATAAATATTTCAAGAATGAATAAAAACCTATACCGAAATAAGACCTACATATCCAGCCGATAACATTAATATGCATGAAACAATGTATGCACCCGCAACAATTACAGGCTCCTTTATCCCGCATGATTCAAGATGGTAATGCAAAGGAACTATTTTGAATAACCGCCTTCCAATTCCTTGTAATCGTTTAGTGAAATTGAAGTATGATACCTACCAATTACCAAACTTGTGTCACATTTCATCAATTTATAAACTCATGGTGTTTTAAAAATTCATATGTTCATGTAATGATTTGTCAATCGAATTAGAATTTGCTAAATCAATTATAATTGTTTTACATAGTCAATGATTCCTATTCTCCTCCCATGCTTGAATAAAACCATTATGTTCTACCATGTGTTGATTAAAACCATTATATTTTCTGATTTTGATTAAATTGACGTTTCACAATCCATAGCCTGTATGTAACTAAAATATTACATGGCACGATTAATTTCAAGAAACATTAATTGTTATTCTAGAAAATTGCTACCATTTTGATCGAAACTGAAAATAATACATTTGGTTTTTTTAGGGTTTTCCTTTTATAACATCTATGAATATATAAATCATTAGTTATATCATATATTTTGTATCCAAGTATTTAATAACTTTAAAATTTTATAAAAAAATCATTAGAGATTTAAGAATCAATATCATTATTTATAGAGTAAATTACACGAATGGTCCCTATGGTTTGGGGTAATTTGCATGTTTGGTCCCTAACTTATTTTTTTAACACGGAAGGTCCCTATTCTTTGTTTTTGTTACGCACTTGGTCCCTACTGTTTATTTTTCTTACGCGTTTGGTCCCTATCTTACCTAAAAAGACTATTATTTAAATAGGGAAAAATAGTGGGGTAGGTATGGTAAGGTGAGAGGGTGGGGTTGGGGGTGTGTTTATTTAAATAAATTAAAAAACCAAGGGAAGAATAGGTTTTTTAGGTAAGACAGGGACCAAGCACGTAACAAAAAAAACAGTAGGGACCTTCCGAGTTAAAAAAATAATTTAGGGACCAAACGCGCAAATTACCCGAAAGCATAGGGATCATTCGTGTAATTTACTCTTATTTATATCATCCTAATACAAGACAATTTTCATTCCTATATATGGGTATTATATTTTTTCTTCTTCAAAATTAAATACAAGTAGATTATTTAGGTGATGTTAAATAATAATAATAATTAAGAAAGGAAGTGATTGATATTTGATGATGAATTAATGATACCTGTAGTATAACGGAAAGTGCTTCCAAGATGATGATTCCAGAAGATATAAGTAAGGGAAAGAACATTCCAGTACAAGCAGCCATTGCAGCGAGGGCCCCACCTAATGCTAAAGTTCCAGTATCCCCCATAAACACTGAAGCTCTGTATCTGTTATGGAAAAGGAATCCAACACAAGCTCCTGCCATTGATGCTCCAAAAACTGCAAGATCTGTTTTTATATAACAATAAATAAATAAATAAATAAAATCTCAATTCAATGTTTTCCAAAACTCTTTTCGACTTCTTTTTAAATGGCTTGATGTTTTCCATTAATGTTGTGTTTGGCGTGCCACAGCTAGCTTATTTTTCAAGTTGTTTTAAGTTGTTATGTTTGGCGAGCCAAAAAGTAGCTTATAAGCTAGCTTTTTTAAAATTTTCGAAATATACCCTTTAATTAATTATAGAAACACATTCTTTTAAATGCCCTTTTATGTTATTTTATATCTTTCAGCTAGCTTTTCACCTAGTTCTAGCAAATGCCATTTTTTATCAGTTAATTTTTTAGCTATCAGCTAGCTTTTGTTTAACAGCTAACTTTTCAGCTAGTATGCCAAACATAGCCTAAGAGTTGTGGATAAATGAAGTTTAAAAAGATATTTGAGAAAATGTCGGAAAATGTAGAAATGATTAACCTAAGAGCTAAAAACCGTAAATGTCTTTTTTAGAAAGCCAAAGCATGCACATTTAATTTATAACGTTTTAAGTTATACTATTGTTTAAATGATGATGGAAAATGCTACTACTTATGATTTGAAATTTATAGCGTATGATTTTAATTTTAATCATAAATTAAGCATGTTGATATGTAAATATATTTATAAAATAATTATTTTAATGTAGTAAACTGATTTAATAAATAAATACAAAGAATGTAATAACATTTTGGGTTAATCTCATAAAAGACCTTATATTTTGTGTTTTTTCCTGATTAAACCTCAACTTTTTTTTTCCTGAAAAAGACCTTGCATTTTTCCATTTTTTGCGATCGGGCCCTTTTAGTAATTTTTTTCCCAAAAAATTGTAAAATGTGAGTGTTTTTTTTTCTGGGAAAACTAAAAAAGTTGAGGATTTATTCGGAAACAGTTAGAAGGTTGAGGGGTTCTTTTCGGAAAATGGTTTTAACTCTTAACTCGCTGAAGAAAACAGTTAAGTGGCTAAATCGATAAAATGGTGAAACTTAAAAGTATTAAGTATTTTTTTAGTCTTTGGCTTAAAAAGAATTTTGTGAAAGAGAGGGGGAGAAAATAGAAACCTGAACAAATTGGAAGGACTGCAATTGACATTCCTATAAATGAAAGGGCAGCAGTTCCTCCAGCTAATCCATCAAGACCATCAGTCAACTCCACTGCATTTGCCATTGACACAAAACAAAATGAAGTCAACACTAAATAAGAACCACCCATGCACACCAACCCTAGCGGCAGAGGTAGCGGCACCACCATTTTACTGCATAAAAAAGGGTAATTCCGTCATTTATCATTATTTACATTGCACTCACAAATCTATATTTACACTAAGCAAGGTAATAAAACTATTGACTCTTATCATTTCTTTCCATTACATCATTGTACTCTAAGGGGTTGTTTTAGGGTTTTAATCTCATGAAAGACTTTATATTTTGTGTTTTTCCAGATTAAACCTCAACTTTTTTTTTCTCATTTTTTCCAATCTGGCCCTTTCAGTCATTTTTCTCCAAAAAAAGTTGTAAAATGTGATGGTTTTTTCAGGAAAAACTAAAAAAAGTTGAGGGTTTATTTGGAAACATTTAAAAGGTTAAGGGTTTTTTTAGAAAAAATGAAAAAACATAAGGTCTTTTTCATGAAAAAAAAATAAAGATAAGGTTTAATCCGGAAAAAACACAAAGTATAATGTCTTTTATGAGATTAACCCTACTTTAAAAATCTACCCGATTATCGCATTAAATTTCCAATTTTATTTCTTTTCATGACCTTATACTCTGGAAAATCTACCTAATTCTATCAGTGAAAATAGTTTTGTATTTGATTAGTTATCATTTATAATGTCATAAATGTATAATACGTATTATTAAAGAAACAAAAGGAAAAAAAATAACAAGGGAATTAGGAAAAATTTGTAATTGGTTGGATATAATAGGTAAACATGTCAAAATTAATGTCTACCTACTAATGAACAATTTCTACAGGATATTCTGGAAAAGATATGACTATGATAGTTTTATGATAAAATTAAATTCTAGAATGGGAAAAAAAAAACATGGAGGAATATAGGATTTGAGTGAAAGATTGATATATTTAGGAAAGATATTAGAGTTACCATCAAAATAGTTACAAGAAAGTATACATGCTGTAAGGTGATGATATGTTCCTTGAACATAACCAAAAATAGAACCATGTTCCAACTGCCACCTATCCAATAAAAATAAAAAAAAAATAAAAAAAACATCTCAT